CGTCGCTGGTGGCTGACCATGTCATCCTGGCGGTCGGCATCACCCCGAATGTCCAGCTGGCCGAGAAGGCTGGCCTGGAGCTGGACGAGAAGCGCGGTGGTATCCTGGTGAACGCCGAGCTCGAGGCTCGCTCCGGTGTCTTTGCTGCCGGTGATGTGACCTCCTTCCATGACATCGCCCTCGGGCGCCGGCGCATCGAGCACTACGACCATGCGGTCCTGACCGGCCGTGTGGCCGGCGAGAACATGACCGGTGCTCGGAGCCCCTACAGCCACCAGTCGATGTTCTGGTCGGATCTCGGCCCGAAGATCGGCTACGAGGCCATCGGCATTCTGGACCCGGCCCTGACCACGGTCGGCATCTGGGCCAAGGGCCGGCCCAGCGACACCCCGCAGGCGGCCACCTCGGCCGGGGACAACATCCGTTCGGCTGTGGCCGACCCGAGCAAGCTGTCTGCCTCGTCGGTGGCCGACGATGCGGCGGCCGTTGCCGCGGCCGAGGCCTCCCAGGTTGCCACCCCGCCGCCGCCGCCGCCCGCCGAGCACGAGACCTACGGCAAGGGCGTGGTTTTCTACCTGAACAAGCGCCGCCAGGTGGTCGGCATGCTGCTGTGGAACAACTTCGGCCAGGTGGGCAAGGCCCGCAACATCATTCTCGAGGGCCGTGAGTGGCACGACCTCACCGAGCTGGCCCGCCTGTTCAAGGTCAACGAGTAAGCTGACTGGCCCGCTGGTGTGGTACATGCTATATATATTATATATCATGCTACGCGTGTGGCATGTGCGCCTGCTTAGTGCACCTGTTTATCCCTACACCTACAGAGAGACGCACACACGGGCTGCCTGCCCCCCCCCCTCCCTCCCCTCCTCCTCCTCCTCCCGTGGTGCAACATGTCGACCCGCCTCTCGCCCCCTGCCCTCTCCCCCTCCCCTACATGCGAGCATGTGGCGCGTGTCCCCCACGGAGCGTGTATCGTGTGCCTCCGCAGGGAACTTGCGGGGGGTCACTGGCCCCCCCCCCCCTCCCCCTTCGGCTGCTCAATACACCTTACAAACATCCCACCTGCGTACACTCGATCTGCTGCCAACTCACGGCGTGTCACGTGGCGCATTTCGAAAGATTGTGGGTAGAATCGCACGGACCCCCATTCCAAACGATTCGCCCCGGCGCGATCGATGCCCCGCCTGACCTGGGGGAATGAATCAATGTATGCGAATTGCCAGCTGGGACCCTCGCGGGCATGCCCCCTTGTTAATGGCGACCTTAAGCCCTCACGGGAAGCAGGTGGGCAGGAGGAAGGCGGCCGGGCCCTTCCTCGCATGCGATGTGCTATGCCCACTTTCGGCGCGGGAAGACCCAGGAGTCGCTGCCGGAGAGCTCTCATGCCTCGGGAGGCACGGGCAGGTGCCGGAGCAGCAGCAGCAGCAGGCCTCAGACGTTAGAATGCCAGGAAGACAAAACTGCCGCCCGAGGGAAGTCGTGTGGGGATTCGACAGTCTTTGGGGGGGGCTTTTTTTCGGCCTCGCCCCGGCCTTTTTTCCTCGAATCGGCCCTTTTGATGGGCGCCACTTGCCGAGTCCACGGACACTGAACATGCGCCGCCGTGAGGCACGCACCAAGGCAAAGGGGCTTCCTCGCGATAGGCATTTTCATGCATGTCTGAGCGCCTCCCAGGAGCTTGTTTTTTTTCCCATCCCTGGATCTGGTATAAAAGACCACGGCGCCGGGGCCCGATGGGCTGGCCCCTTCGGCTGCTACACGTAACATTTTCTCTGCTCTGAATAGATAGAGAAGCACCAGCCCAGCCGTCTGCGCATTCTCCCCCCCCTCTCTGCCGCCTCCGACCGCGTAACCTCACACGCCCCCGACGTCGCATCCGTACATCCCGCTCGCAGAAGCTCCCTCCCGCAAGATGCCCTCGCTCCCGGTTCTCTTTCCCTCCTCGGTGGTTCGTCTGTCGAACAGCTTCCAGACCGGGGGGCTCTTCATCCCGCACAACGAGCCGGTGGCCCTGCCGATCTACACGCTGGATATGAAGCCCCCGGCCGCGCCGGTGGTGTCCAAGGACTTGGACTGCTCGCTCGAGGGCATTGGCCGGCACCAGGCCGAGCTGGAGCTCTGCAAGGCGGCCGACCACACCTGCCAGGTGTCCTGCCTAAATGAGGCCTACATTTTGGAGGCCTGTACCACGGTCAATTCCGATGTCACGGAGACCGACTGCCGGAACAAGTTCCTGAACACCGTCAAGACCTCCTGCCCCTCGGACAGCAATGACTGGTCCAAGTACAAGTGCAAGGTCAACAGCGCGGCCCCTCGCTCGATGCTGTGGTCCGTCGGTGTGTCCATCTCGGCCGTGCTTCTGGCCTTGGCTGCCTCGATGTAGCCGGTCTCTCGGCTACATTCACGCGCTCCGAGGACGGACACCGCCCTGAGACGCACGTCGAGCCCGCTCCTCTCCACGCACAAGTGCACATAAGCACGCGGCAGTGTCCGGGGCCCCTCTCCTCTGTGCAAATCAAAAGGAATAAATAGCCCAAACCATTGCAGACCCATTGCGGCCAGGCGGAGGACCGAGGCGAAGCGGACATGTGGAATGTGGCAAGACACCTCAGTTCACAAGGAGATGGTTGGGATCTGTGAAAGAGGCAGGTGGGAGGCCTCGCGGCCGGGCGGCTTGCCACCTCTGACACACACCTTGGGCCAATATGCACGCACATACTCACTTGCCTTTTCGTTCCCCATGTGTAGCCCCGAAGGACATACTCGCCATGATCGGAAACACGGTCGTGCGAATGAGGCAGCAGTCGTGGGCTATGTGCATTCACATGATCTGGTGCCCAGGTGAGGCTCATCTGCCAATCGATCTCGGGGTGACTACCTGGCCCTTCGCGCCTGGGTGTCTTCCCGTGTGTGGTGCCTATGCGTGTGTGCCTATGCGTGTGTGTGTGTGTTTGCGGTGATCCAAGGGCCCAAGCCCCCGTGCAGCATGACAAGGGAGCAATGGTCGAGCAAACCAGCGCCGACCCCCCACCTCGCATCGCCTCTTCTCGCACGACGGTCAACTAAACACCCTCGCCCCATCTGAGGAGGCAGAGTTGCGGCCGAGGACACCAGGTGTCTCCTCCAGCACACTCCCTACCCTCCCCCTCCCTCCTGCACCCGCCCTGGCACTTGCACAGGCACACACACACGCTCACACGCACGCACACACACACGCACACACACACACACACACACACACACACACACACACACACACACACACACATACATACATACCGTCCATCTTTTCGCCCTCCGTCTCTCCTTCTGCCCGTCCGCACGGACCGTCGACCGCCCCCATGGCGCATCCGAGAGGCGGTCCCCTCCCTCCGCTGAAGAGGGCGCTGATGAAGCCCCAGCAATATCGCCGGCTTTATAGGAGGGAGTTCCTTCAGGCCGCCATCGAGACGCCCGACAGCGAGGTGGAGCGCCTCCTCCGTGACTCTCCATCAGTTGGT